AGCAACACAAAACTGCTTTGCTAGCTCAATCATGTTGTAACTAAGATATCCGCTGGAAAAGATATTTTTTTCACGGACTGTTTAATGAGTTATTACCTATTACAGACACTGCTAATGGCTAACAGGGCTAACAGCTAACGGTTAGCCCAGCTAAACATGCACACAGAAATAGTAATGTTTGTTCAATCATTGTGTTTATAGACTTTACAAACATCGGATTAGTCCAAATGGTGATACAGTGATGTGAAAAATGTGATGTATAGGCTATATATATAGCTAAAAGCTCTGCTGGTTTTGTTTTCTACCCAAAGTATTTGTAAACAACAAGGCGATTGCCTCTATAGTCCAGCCAGACGGATGAGTCATGGCCTTGTAAAAGATTATGTTTGTTTCTTTTAGTTGGCAAGAATGTGTCGCCGCAAACGCGACAAACATCCACTAACTTTGACGGAGTTTTCTGCGAGCGCGACTTGAGCCATTTTGTACCGCTACACGTGTTTCTAGTCTGACTATGTTTACGAGCACAAGAGTTCAGCGAGCCACCAAAGGACCACCCTGCAGATTTACTATTGGTTCTGCAACGTAGGGAGTTTTTTTAAACTCTGAAATTGTATCCGCCCATCTAAACACAAAATCAGGGAGAAAGTCATCAGTCTTTAGTTAAGCAAAGCATCTAAAGACTGACTTGTGAGTCTAGCCAGGGGCAAAAACAAGCTCTTTTGGGTGACCTTAACTGACAATGCACAATTGCCTATATGATTAGGAAAAAATACCAAAGTTTCCCTTTACAGAGTAGCACTAACTGACTTGTATTTCCACTGTTCTGATAATGAAAAATGACAAACTGTATTGGTTTAAATAAAAGACAGTTGTATTGTTGCATGACAGTTCATCTGCCTGCCACACTACTAAAGATCAGACCAGCTAGAAATACATCAGGCCTCAGATGTGTTCCAAGTCTTTTCAATGTAAGTTATTTCGTTATGTATCTAAGTATGTATTCACATTTTATACGTCTTCTAATATTATTTGTCTTAACTTGTAAATAACACACGCACAGAAAATGAAATTTTAGTTCATGTTTGGTTTTACTTCCTAATGTGCTAAAATATTTTGCATGTACTGTTGCAGTAAGATTTTTAAAGTGTATTTGTTTCCGTGTTTTCCTTTATTTTTGCATTGACAATGGTCTGACTATATGTAAAATAATGTCTGTATTTAAACAGTGCTTTCTCAATACTGTATCTTATTATGGTCATGTCAGAAAAAAGACTGAGTGAGTGGGCAAGAGAGAGAAAGAGAAATTTAGTATGCTGTTTTGACTTTAATGTTTTAGAACTTAATGATGTCATAATGATGATGTCACTCCAACTCCAAAGATTTTGGCTTTATGACATCCTATGCCAACTTTAAAAGTTTTCAAATATAGCCCTGCTGAGATAAACTGTGAGGTACACCAGGAGACTGAATCCACGAGATATCAACTGTACTTGTAACGTGTTTGGAGGTATTTTGCAGCCAAAACATTTTACCTACGCTCAGATTCCTAAAGCGAGTCTAGCATGGAGTCAGTGTCTGCACAATTTCAGGTGCAAAAGCATGACACACTCTGTAGCAAGTCTGCAAGCTACCTTGTAGTGCACTTTAATGGAGAGGGATGTTTTGGCAAAATTGCTAAGTGCATTAATTTAAAAACTCGAGACTACGGCCATCAAGATCCACAAGAAGAGTGATGATAACACCATTCAAATGAAGTTCTGGAAGAACTCAGGGCTCTTGATCCAGAAAAGACAAACCTGGTGAAATTCATTGACAATTTCACGTTCGAAGGCTTGTCTTGCCTAGCCTTCGAGATGCTGGACAGGAGCCTTATGGACTTGGTGAAGCAGAGAAAGGCACCACTGTCTTTAAATGAAATCCGCCCCATCACACCAGCTACTTGTAGCTTTTAAAGCCCTGAAAGATGTCGGCATCATTCACACTGACCTGAAACCTGACAAGGTCATGCTCGTCAACCATCAGGATCAGCCCCTCAAGGTGAAATTAACTGACTGGTTTGGCCCTTCCAGCCTCTGAAACACAGGTTGGGATGCGGTTGCAAGCCCCTGTGTACAGAGCTCCCGAGGTGACCTTGGGGCTCCCAATTACTGAAGCCATCGACCTGTGGGGACTGGGATGTGTCCTCGCATACCTGTATTTTGGCTTCCACCTCTTCACCCTTCCCTCAGTATACAACATAATGCAAGCCATTTGCCATCTGTGCAGTCAGCCAGGAGACCACCGGCTGAATTCTGCGAAATTCACCAGACAGTTTTTACCAGAGAAAAGGGCTTAGCCAAACGAGGTTGGAAACTGATGACACAGGAGGAGTTCGAGGAGGCAAACGGTGTCGAGCCCGAAATGGGACCATGGATTTTTGACTCTGTCAGAAATCTGGAAGAAGCAGTTGAGGGCCAGTCAGAGATAATGAACAATGTTGAGTACAGAGACAGGATGGCATTTGTGCACTTCCTGGAAGAGTTTCTCGATGTCGACGCTGAGACAAGAGTCACGCCAGAGGAGGTCCTACAACATTGTTTTGTTACAATGGCTCATCTGGAAGAGGACATGGACACCAGCTCTTATGCAGACACTGCATTCAAGTTGATGACCGTTTGCCCTCTGGATGATTCAGAGGAATGCCCTGAAAGCTGGAGATCTGAAGACACAGACGCAGATCCTCAAACTCCAACTGGCAGGAGTACCGTACAGAGAGAGCCATTTGGCAGCGGCAGTACTGAAGATTCAGTAAATATGAATTCTGTTTATGAGGATGAGGATCCACCACAAAACTTAATGATCCTCCAAGCCCAAATGATGCTCACCTACAGAGGGAGCCATTTTGGACTGTCAATACTGAAGATTCCGGAAGCATGAATTCTATTTATGAGGACAAGGGACTACCAGAGAACTATTTCTATTCTCTGAACCCCTATGACGATAACCTTAAAGAGGATGAGGACCTGGGAGCAAATTACAATAATCAACCAGCTCACAGGAATTACTCACAAAGAGAGCCATTTGAGGGTTTCAGCAATGGGATAGAGCCATACACATCACACTACTGTGATGGAAAGACGCACATTCCTATTTGCTTTCGACTTCCTACCTCCTACAACTCTTCAGTCACTTGAGACCAAAGACTTGGTAGTCAGACACTGCTGAGCTCTGCTGGTGGAGCTTAGCTGGTGCTGGCTCAGCCAATAGAGCTGCAGTCAACGCTAAGATTATTCTGCAGCTACCATCGCACCTGTAACACCTGATCGGGACGATGTCAACATCAGCCATGATAGAGCCGGAGGTTTTCTTTTGCCGAATGAAAGGGGAAGTAATTTCCCTCTTCAGACAGCAAAAGGAATAATCTACATTTATTCTAGAACTTAGACCCCGAGCGAACAATATTCTCTACCATGACTTGTGGGGCAAGGAGGTTCTGGGCCTCTTTCTGAATGGAGTTTGCATGTTCTCCCTGTGCCTCGTGGGTTTGCCCCGGGTGCTCCGGTTTCCTCCCACAATCCAAAAATATGCAGGTGAGGTTAATTGGCAATTCAATTCGGATTTATTTTCTTTGTTAATCAATATGTTACTGTGTTAAATAAAATATCAAAATAAAATATAAATATTTATATATATATAAAGATTTTTTTTTCTGAGAATTTAGAAGAAATAAAGAACGCCTGCAAAGTCTCTTATGAAGCAAGACCAGTAAGAGTGGGCTTCTTTGCTTCTGAAGCTCTGCAGCTAACAGGAGTAAGGCTGATATCATTTGTAACTTGAGCACAGTAGTAGGGTGTAACATGAACACCCAAAGCACTTCAACAATGTCCAGGGCCATGTGTTCTCAACAGGAAAATAATGACTTAACCTGAAGGTTGTACCTGTGTTTTAGTGTGAACATTAAAAAGATCTTTAAGCTGATTTTCAGATGCCCTGTGCTTGATCATATTTGGCAAAATAAAATAATGATTTGGTACAGCGAACGATAATGCTAGTTTGCTAACTAGCTAATTTGCGGTCGTCATTTCCGGTAACTGCACAACGGCCGTGGTTTGAGACAACACTACCCCGTCGAAAATCGCGCACTACGCCAATGAGTACATGGTGCACATAGTATACTACATAGAAGTGTACTAACGGAAGTATGTGATTTGAGACACACCTTAAGTCAGACCTTAATAAACAGACAGATTATTCGAAATTTTTTGCACGTGTTGATACAAGAATATGTAAAGCTTGAAACGTTACCTTGTCATGTGGTAAATCCTCATTTTTTTTATTTTTACTAAAACTCACTTGGGAGCTTCATCCAGTGTGCGGCTTTTTCCTTTTTTTCCATGTTTATACCTTAGCTAGAACCTGGGCCTCTACTACAGGATGTGCACCCTTTTGAAATTTTTCTACTAGAATATCTACCAGTTTTTATCTATTTCTATGGCAAATTATACCATTTCATTCAGTGGTCCCCATTTTGTATGGCAGAGGGGTGAGGAGTCATCTGTCATTACTCCGAGCAACAACTGTTAACATTGTATGTGTGTGAGAGATACTTTTCCCAATTCAGACCTTTTGTTTTTCAAATCTAAATGAAGCTGGGTGGTAGGCAGGGATGGACCAGCTGTAAGGGTAGTCATCACTGTGATTAGAGGCAATACCTAAAGAAAGAAAAAAACAACACAACCATTGTAACTGCTATACAACTGGATAAAGAAAAAAATCCCAAGACGTTTTGAAAGTAAACAAGTGATTCATGCAGATTGGATTCTTCTCATAAAATGCAGCTAAGGCTCATCATTAACTTTAAGATTTTTATTAAAAATGTGTACTATTAATCTTACCCGGATGAAATACTTTGCCCACAGACATGGTAAAGTATCCATTAGATTTAAAGTGCTGTGGCAGGGTCGTGTAGTTTCCAGAATGCGTTCTCCAATAGGAATTGAAGTCATAGAGCCTGGTCGTGTCTGGTCTCCGACTAGTTAACATGGATGTTCGGCTGGGAGCACACACAGCTTGCTGAGCAAGGAAAAACACAAATTTTAAGCAGCCCTCCTCCAGTCAGTTTTACTTCCTGTTTAACGGTTAGTTAACAATCTTTCTTAACAGAGAATGGGGATGTGTCTGACAGTCGGACGTGTTAGTGGTAAACGACTGAAACAAGATTGCAGCTCCAGTTTGGAAAACAGCAATATGGCACTTACTTTGATGAATTTACTGTTTACCAGAGACAACAACTGACACAACAAACCAACTTTCTCTCTTTCACTCGCGCTCTTCTTTACAGTCTCCTCCTGCCGCAGCTTTCAGCTGTGTAGTGAGGAGAGACAGTTTGGCTGGTGCTGCACCGGGGAGCCTCACAGCTGCACGCTGGACACAGTCCAGCAAAGGAAAGACAGATATATTGCCATGGTCTGCTCTCTGAAATGCTGTTATGGGGCATTTCGGAGGGGCACCATCTACTAGCATCAGCTGCTCTCACCTCAGCTCAGCACCAACACTGCCCCAGACAGCACTGTGACTCTTTATTTCTCTAACAGGATGTTACATCTTTTTGACTGAAAGTTGTGCACTTCCCAGTGTCCAAACCTGTTGGTGGCCAATGCTGGTGTACAATGTCCGAAACTGCATTTTAGACAGACCTCAGTAAAATGTCTATCCATCCTGCAGTGCACTGTGGCCAAGAGACTATAAAGAAGAGTGCAAATGAGAGACACCACAGAAATATGTGTTGTGCTATTTTTGCCAGTGGAATTTAGTGTAATTTTCTGTGTTGATTGCAGTCGTTCACTACACATAGGCTACAGATACCATTATGAAATTAAACAACACATAAAACTAAGGTGGAGGGCCACTACACAAAGAGGTATAAATAAGGCTATGGTGGTACAATTATGGTAAAATACAAGTTGATTAGCCAGCTTACTATGATGTTTATGGTATTTATGACAATACACCTGTACAAGCTTGGAGAATGACATATGACTTGCAGATTACTATAGTCATACGCCATCTTACAGATTTAGTAACAATATCCTTTTTTTCTTTTTTTTTTTACTTTGAGCACAAAATTAGTTGTCAAAAAATATTTGGTGAACTGTGTGGCCGATCAATGTTGTCAGGACATGCCTAAGAAAACTACACTGAACAAAAACAAACTCAACACTCTTGTTTTTGCTCCCATTTTTCATGAGCTGAACTCAAAGATCTAAAACATTTTCTATACACACACAAAAGACCATTTCTCACAAATATTGTTCACAAATCTGTCTAAATTTGTGTTAGTGAGCACTTCTCCGTTGTCGAGATAATCCATCCTACCTCACAGGTGTGGCATATCAAGATGCTGATTAGACAGCATGAATATTGCACAGGTGTGCCTTAGGCTGGCCACAATAAAAGGCCACTCTGAAATGTGCAGTTTTGCTTTATTGGGGGGGTCTGGGGGGGGGGTCAGAAAACCAGTCAGTATCTGGTGTGACCACCATTTGCCTCACGCAATGCAACACACCTCCTTCGCATAGAGTTGATCAGGTTGTTGATTGTGGCCTGTGGAATGTTGGTCCACTCCTCTTCAATGGCTGTGCGAAGTAGCTGGATATTGGCAGGAACTGGAACACGCTGTCGTATACGCCGATCCAGAGCATCCCAAACATGCTCAATGGGTGACATGTCCGGTGAGTATGCTGGCCATGCAAGAACTGGATGTTTTCAGCTTCCAGGAATTGTGTACAGATCCTTGCAACATGGGCCCGTGCATTATCATGCTGCAATATGAGGTGATGGTCGTGGATGAATGGCACAACAATGGGCCTCAGGATCTCATCACGGTATCTCTGTGCATTCAAAATGCCATCAATAAAATGCACCTGTGTTCGCTGTCCATAACATACGCCTGCCCATACCATAACCCCACCGCCACCATGGGCCACTCGATCCACAACGTTGACATCAGCAAACCGCTCACCCACAAGACGCCACACGCTGTCTGCCATCTGCCCTGAGCAGTGAAAACCGGGATTCATCCGTGAAGAGAACACCTCTCCAACGTGCCAGACGCCATCGAATGTGAGCATTTGCCCACTCAAGTCGGTTACGACGACGAACTGCAGTCAGGTCGAGACCCCGATGAGGACGACGAGCATGCAGATGAGCTTCCCTGACACGGTTTCTGACAGTTTGTGCAGAAATTCTTTGGTTATGCAAGCCGATTGTTGCAGCAGCTGTCGGGGTGGCTGGTCTCAGACGATGTTGGAGGTGAACATGCTGGATGTGAAGGTCAATTTTTCGAATAATGTCAAATAAAGGGGGGGAAATAAGACGGCGAATAGTAATAGTCGCATTAAAAAAATCGATTTTTCAAAAATAAAACGACTATTCGAAATTCGAAAATCGTGACCCATCCCTAGTGCTCATTAACACAGATTTAGACAGATTTGTGAACAATATTTGAGGGAAATGGTCTTTTGTGTGTATAGAAAATGTTTTAGATCTTTGAGTTCAGCTCATGAAAAATGGGAGCAAAAACAAAAGTGTTGCGTTTATATTTTTGTTCAGTGTATGAAATATAAACATGCCAAAGTACACTGGAGGGGGACTTGAAGATTATATTTCATACAATAAACATACACACCACCAACTGACCTGTGCATATGTATTAAGAAAAACTTGGCTTTTGGATGCCAGTTGATCAATGTTTGGCGATTTTACCACAGAGTCCCCATAACAGCCTAATGACGTCCGCAGATCATCTGCCATGATGAAAAGGACATTTCTCCTCCCTGAAAGCAAAAATACACCACAGTTTATTTATGTTTCTTAAAAATGAGCATATGAAGTGACGAGTTCAGTCGTAGTGTACAGATTTCTGCTGAGGAAAGCTTCCTATCAAGTAGGGGTAAAATGATAGTAAATTAAAAAGTAGGTGCTGACTAACAAGTAAATATAATAAAAAGGACAATGTGATTCAATGAAAGTCCTTCGTGACACTGGAAAACATGTTGCACAGACAATAGCTGAACAGAACCCAGCAGGTTTCACTTCAAACAATATCAAACTTAGGAAGTTTAAATACAAGTAAATCTTACAAGGCACCATTCTATGCGTGAATTAAATTAAACAATGTCAGCTCACTCGTACTGCAGCCACTAAGTAACTATAACAGGCACTCATTAATCGCTAATGTGAGCTAGTTACTGAGATTTACTCCTCAGATAAGAGGAAACCACTTAAATAGTCTACGAGCCAAAAGCCAACCTGTGTCTTTATCATAAAGCTCATGAAACTTTCAAATATGATGACATTTTCAAGAGGTTTGCTCGCTTCCATTCAGCATTTGCTCGGTACAAACTCTACCTCTCCTTGCCCCAGCAGCAGGAGCCAGTGCGTGAAGACCCAGGAGGAGAAGCCATACTCGGACACACATGAACATCTTGGTTAGGCAGGGGAAAATAACGACAAGTGTCCCTCAGATAAAGTTTACTTCAAAGTTAATCACGCATCTCCTCTGTGGTTTCAGCCGTCCTCCAGCAAGCGGATATCTAAACAAACGAGCGTGTCGTCGTCTTTAAATAACTTCCTGATTATCGCGTTGCCCGATTGAAATGTTCTTATTGGTGCACTCAGCAGCCAGCTCGCCCCGAAACACTAATCAGATTAGTTAAATGACGTGTCAATCATTTTACCGCTCGTATGTTTTTGTTTTTTGTTAACTTCACGCTACCATAGCTGAGAAATGCAGATGAAGAGAGGTCTCACTCTGCACCAATTTAAACAAGATGAATCCTAGTTGAATTTATGGAGGGTTTTGAGGGCTTATACTTACATAGTTATATAATCAAATCCTCAAATAAATTAATAAATACATACTCATCTAATTATGCTTTGATAAATGCATAAATAAAAGATATATAATAAAATCCTTGAGCAAATTAATAGAAACAATATGTAATTCAATTCTTAATTTTTACCATAAATAAACCACAAATCAAATTAGACCTTACATCTAGAAATGTTAAATTTGTGTATTTATTTATGTATTTATTTATTTATTATTATTTCTATGATTATTTATACATTTGTATATTAAAAAATTTACGTATTTATATATTTACACATTTATTTATCTATCTATAATCTATTTATCTATTTATATATGCTTTCATTTATCAATAGCGTTATGAAGGTAAAGTCGTAACTAAATATATATGAACTAGTCCATACCCACTGGTAGCTTTGTCACCTTCTACCTATGCCAATCCTCAATGCCTATGTGCAGTTTCACATAGATTGACCACGTCAGTGAGTAGAAAAACGTGGGACAGACAGAATGACTGACTGACAGAATGACACACTGACAGTTTCCGTGATTATGTACAGCATACCATACCATGACTTAGTCATACCAAAAATTATAAAAAAAAAATCAACATTCGGCCACAGGTGGAGCCACAGCGATCGGTCGCATTTTAGCCATTTTTATGTGTGGTCATATGCCTTCAAAGTTGCGTGGTGATCGGTGAAACCCTTGAGATGTTATACACCTTTATGTGATGAGCCACGCCCTCCGCAATATTCATTGCCTTATAGAAGCTCAGGTTTAGTAAGTTTTCCAACTTTTGCCAAGATGGAACTTTAGATATTGGTCCCTAGATTATGTTCACCGAGTTTCATGCAGATCGGTCAAACTTCCTAGGAAGAGATCGATTTGAAGTGTTTTTCAAATAATTTAAAATGGAGGAAAATCTATAAACCAGAAGTTATGGGTTCTTGGGGCAAATTTGTTCCTCATGAGGAGAGGCATCTCTGTGCAAAGTTTCATGTCTCTACGACATACGGGGCATGAGATATGCCCATTCAAAGTTTGCAATTTCAATCGCTTGCTATAGCGCCCCCCTTTGGCTAATTGATCTAATATTGCTTCATTCGCATCCTCCATGACCCTCTACCACTGTGCCAAATTTCACATGCATTGACCAAGTCAGTGAGGAGAAAAACGTGGAACAGAGACACAGAGTTTTCGTCATTATATAGTAAGATACAGTCAAGTCCGAAATTATTCATACACCTTGCAAATTTTGACTTAAAGTTACTTTTATTCAACCAGCAAGTTTTTTCTTGATTGGAAATGACACAGGCGTCTCTCAGAAGACAATAAGGCGATGTACAAGAGGCATCATTGTGGAAAAAAATATTTCTCAGATTTTATTTACATTTGAACAAAAAGTGGCATGTCCAAAATTATTCATACCCTTCTCAATAATCAATAGAAAAGCCTTTATTGGCTATTACAGCAATCAAACGCTTCCTATAATTGCTGACCAGCTTTTGGCATGTCTCCACTGGTATTTTTGCCCATTCATCTTTAGCGATGAGCTCCAACTCTTTCAGGTTGGAGGGTCTCCTTGCCATCACCCTGATCTTTAGCTCCCTCCACAGATTCTCAATTGGATTCAAGTCAGGACTCTAGCTGGCCCACTGCAAAACGTTAATGTTTTTGTCTGCTAACCATTTCTTCACCACTTTTGCTGTGTGTTTTGGGTCGTTGTCGTGCTGAAATGTCCACTGGTGCCCAAGGCCAAGTTTCTCTGCAGACTGCCTGATGTTGTTGTTGAGAATCTTGATGTATTGCTCTTTTTTCATGGTGCTGTTTACTGTGATTAGGTTCCCTGGTCCATTGGCTGAAAAACACCCCCAAAGCATTAGGTTCCCACCACCATGTTTGACAGTGGGGATGGTGTTCTTAGGGTTGAAGACTTCTCCTTTTTTACGCCAAATGAAGGATACATCATTGTGGCCAAACAATTCAATTTTTGTTTCATCTGACCATAAAACAGAAGACCAGAAGTCTTCTTCTTTGTCCAGATGAGCATTTGCAAAGGCCAAGCGGGCTTTTGTGTGCCTTATCTGGAGAAGTGGCGTCCTCCTTGGTCTGCGTCCATGGAACCCAGCAGTGTGCAGTGTCCGTTGGACTGTCTGCCTTAAGATGTTGCCACCAGCAGAGCCCAGATTCACCAGGATGGCCTTGGTGGTGATCCTTGGATTCTTTTTCACCTCTCTCACTATCCTCCTGGCCAGCACAGGTGTCACTTTTGGCTTCCAACCACGTCCTCTGAGATTTTCCACAGTGCGGAACGTCTTATATTTTTTAATAATACTTTGCACTGTAGCCACTGGAACTTGAAAACATTTAGATATGGCCTTATAGCCCTTTACTGACTTGTGAGCAGCCACAATGCGCAGCTGCAGGTCCTCAGTGAGCTCCTTTGTCTTAGCCATGACTGTCCACAAACCAACTGCAGAGAGCTGCTGTTTTTCACCTGTTGAGTTGATTAAAACAGCTGTTCCCAAAAAATCAGGGTAATTAGGATACTTTAGAACAGCATGGACTATTTGGAATAGTATAGAACTTTGGATTTTCCCATAGACTGTGACAGTTTGCAAAGGGTATGAATAATTTTGGACATGCCACTTTTTGTTCAAATGTAAATAAAAGCTGAGAAATATTTTTTTCCACAATGATGCCTCTTGTACATCGTCTTATTATCTTCTGGGAGACGCCTGTGTCATTTCCAATCGAGAAAAAACTTGCTGGTTGAAAAAAAGTGACTTAAAGTCAAAATTTGCCAGGGGTATGAATAATTTCGGGCTTGACTGTACATAACCAATTATATAACTCAATGCTCAAATAAATGCACAATTATATAATAAAATGCTTAATAAATATTTAAATAATAATTTGATCAAGTAAATAAATAAATAAATTATTATATCTACCTTATTCCTGGGGACGCTACGGTAAAAATAATTGGATGCAACTTCCGGTGAACAATAATGAACTCTCAGAATCGCTGTTGAAAGATTATGGTATTGGTAAATTACCACAGACGCCTGTGTCTCTATATTAAAGAATATAACGTTATTGAGAAACATTTAAAAATATTTCACAGTGGGGAAAATTGGGAGAAAAGAGAGCACATGCAGGAGGCTCCAGCTCCACGTTAGCTGAGTGTAGTTGAGTGAGTCGTTTCACAAATAGACGATCTTTGACCACAAGCTGCAGCACGAAACATGGCGGATGCCGGGAGTAAACGTGAAGCTGATGGTGCTGGATCTGATGAATTGTCTCAGAGAGTCAAGAGGGTCAAAACTGATAGTGAAAATGGAGCAGGAGATGTTAAGGAACATGAGTCTGAAAAGATTCTGTCTGAGTTTACAACAACCAGCGTCTTGAGTGATTCTGCCCGGGAGAAAAACATCTTCATCCACGGAAAGGTCAGCTACCTTAGCTAACTCTGACTGTTGGAACTCAGCTGAGAGTTATTATTGGTAACGTTAAGTTAGAGGGAAATGCTATTGTTGTATTCAGTCTGAGTGGTGTGGGTAGTTTTGTGCAGGAATAATGGAACCATGACTTCCGGTTCCATATTTCAAAATAAGTTTGCATTATCACTATGAGGACGACATGCACAGGCAATAACCTGTGTTTATGGGTGATTTTTTTTTTAATTATCGTTAACTTTTGTGCACCAGTCAGCAATAAGAAAATCATGAACACAACTTTTTCATAAATAAGAATAACAAAAACAAAATTTGACACCAAAAGGAACATAATAAAAATGAGATGATAGATGATAATCACACTTTGGACAATCAACCAGCTTAATTTTGAATTTAATTTAGTATATGACGATATATTAGGGACTGTGAAAGTGAAAGTGAAAAGTTCCTGAAGTTGAAAAAAAAAAAGAAAACACTGTTTTTTCAGTCGTGTTGGGCACACTGGTTAGTTTGTGCAAGCAGTTCATTTCTGGCCAAATTTAAAATGAGAAGAATGTGATGTCGATGAAACATCATTATCTAACATCAGATTTGGTGAAATGTTTGTTTATTTTCTGACAGTGCTCATTGCACATGATGTGTCCAAGGACCGTCTCAAATTTGAAAATCCAACGATGATTTCTGTTTTTACAGTTTCTGGCTATGATAAATGGCGTAATTTGGATGATTTTTAAAGAAAACATGCCTTTTTGCAGTAAAGGAAATACAACTATTTAAAATATGTATACACCTCCCTTATGCCAAAATAAAAAAAACACGTCCCTCCTCAGTGCTTAAAAAATTATTTGACATGCCTCCTTCTTTTTACACCTTTCCCCCCTCATAAATAGCCAACAGTCCCTTAGTGTTTTATGTCTTTATTCATGAAAAAGAACACCTGTCCCTTAGGGTTACTGTCATTTCCACCCCACTGTACAAATATAAATTCTGAAATGTGTGCAGAAATCACACAGTTGAATGTGTCCTCACCAGCTTGCAGATCAGGAGGCTGTGGTGATCCTGGAGAAGACTCCCATCAGAGAGGACACCCTGGTTGAGCTCTTCAGTGGTTCCAAGCTGAAACTGGAGATGAGGAACGACATCTACAGCACATATTGGCTACAGGCCCCCCCTCAGCTCAACGGTAGGGTCGGGAAAAATAAACTGTGTGAAGATATTGTGAGGCCAGCAGCCACTTTGGCCAGCCAGATCAACGTTTGTTAGACTGTGTGCTTCTGTTTTGCAGAGATTAAGACCACAGTCGTGTGTCCAGCCACAGAGAAGCATGTAAAGAAATACCAGCGTCAGGAGAGCTTCCTGGTGGAGGAGACGGGGAAGGACTACCAGTCCATCACTTTGCCCTACATTCAGAAGCAGAGTTTCAGTGTGCAGGTCAGCGTCCTGAAATCTCCCCCTCTGCTGCATTAGTTACATGCTTGTGCTGGCATCTTGATGCATACATGTGAATATATACAGCAGTATCTGTGGATTAACATCCCTTTCACCCCCTAGTGGGTACACAACATCCTGGAGAAGAAGGCAGAGGCTGACAGGATAGTTTATGAAGATCCTGACCCAGTAGTTGGCTTTGTCCTTCTTCCAGATTTCAAATGGGACCAGAAACAGGTGACACATATGTTAGCATTGTGATTGCATACATCTAAACTGTCAGGATTAAAACCTTTTCTCCTGGGATGAGAATTAAAATGTCAAAACTCAATTGTGAAATCAAGCAACTGAATGTTTTCCTGCTGATCATCAAATATATAGGAGACCATGACTTTAGTTAGTACTTAAAGATTTTTAGGCCCCTGAACTTTGCAGTTTTACAATATTTGTCTTCTTTCAGGTTGATAATTTATACCTGATTGCCATAGCACATCAGAGAGACATCAAGAGTCTCAGAGACCTGACGTCAAAGCATCTACCACTGCTGCAGAACATCTTCCACAAAGGAAAGGTGAGGATACAGTGTCACCTCAGGGTGACTTCCTGGAGAAAGAAAGAGCAGAAAACATCCTCTTCTTCCAGCAGCTGCCATTAATGTGACCTTGAATATTATAATCATTATCTTAAACCAGTTGTACTTTCCATTTCAGAGAGTTAGGACAAGATATAACTGTTAATAATTAGAGACAAAAGCCTTGGGCATGTTTCATGATGGTGAATATACAGAAAGAGTGACAATACCTGTTTCACTGTGCCTCAGGAGGCCATCCTGCAGCGCTACAACCTTCCAGCCAGTAAGCTGAGAGTCTACCTGCACTACCAACCGTCGTATTACCACCTCCATGTCCACTTCACCAAGCTGGGCTATGAAGCGCCGGGCTGCGGCGTGGAGAGGGCCCACCTCCTCGCAGACGTTATCCAAAACCTCCAGTCTGACGCCCAGTTCTACAAAACCCGGACCCTGTACTTCCCCCTGAGGGCAGATGACGGACTGCTGAGCAAGTTCAAAGAGGCGGGGAGGCTGTAACGTACAGTCTCATGTAGATTCCCATCCAGTGTTTTTTTTGATAGTGTCAGACCAGGTCCAATAACCTTTGTGTTTTTTTTATCTGATTGGTTAACAAATGGCTGTTTCCTCTGTCCACAGTAACACTGCTGGCCAGTCAGCTTACCCTACTGTCAGTGTCTGTGTGTACAGATTGGTTGTTTGTTACAAATATCATCTCTCTGAAAGAGATTTTTCTATCAGTGTCAATTCATAACTCAGGTTTGTAGTATAATCCAGAACATAAATAATTGGAGTATTTCACACATTGATAATGCTGCGTTCACATGGAATCCAGCAGACGGTAAATGGTTAACCAGATATCACCTTAGTGGATGAGAGCATGACGGTAAAATTAGGTGAGGCCAGCAGGGAATAAGGGCAACTGTAACGCCAGACAGCATTGCCCTTCAAAGTTAAAATATATTAACTTGATGCTGTCCTCCATCACAGAATGTACACGCAGACATTACATAGCTCCTTCAGACGAACAGAAAACACAGGCCACCTAGGCAATTCCTGGATGTTGCTAGAAAAACAACATAAAATAACAGACAAACAATTTTATTTTGTGTATTTTATTCTATTTTTTGTAAACAATAAAGCATTACCATGGCAACATATTGTCATGTTTCCCTTTTACCGTCCTGCCACTCTGTTAGACTCTTTGTTTTTCCTGTGCTGTCCGTCTGCTGTCTACCCTCTTAATATTTTATACATATTTGGATACATCATTTGTACGTTTGACTTTAATCCCTTATGAAGGTGTTGACATGAGTCAGGCTCTGTTTTCATGTTTTTCAGATGTTTTCTACATAAGTGAATTAAAGAGTTTTTTTTTTTTTTCTACTCAGTCTGTTGATGTCATCACTTGTTTGGAACATTTCAGAGGGGTTTTTTTTGTTTATGTTTTTTTAATCCGATGAAGTAAAGTGGTAGATGACTTAAGGTGTAGCACATTTCTTTTGTATGGCACCCTACAAACACAGAGGCAAGCCAAACCACCAAGATTATAGCAAGTTTCATTTTCAAAATCATGTTGACATTATTAACCCAGCCACAACACTAGATGGCAGCATTGATTCCAAAAAGAATCCAGCTTTGCCACTGAAAGCATCCCACTGAATAACAAACTCCAGCTTTTATACTGGTAACAAACTGGGATTTCTGATTTTGTCTCTTTTATTTACAAAAAGAGAATATATGGTGTGTTAAATGCCATACTTCTGCAGTTCATATAAACACAAGGATATCATTTTCCACCAAACTATATTTAACCTCAGCCAGCTGACATACTGTTGGACCTGAAGTACCGTGTTTAGTTAGATTGATACCTACAATGCCAGAGGTTCACAGCTACATGCTGCTCAGTGAAGCAGACAGGCTGTATAGTCCAGTCAATCTGATCAGAGAGGATGTGACAGTAGATGGATTGTTCAGCTTTACAAGCAAAGAAATGTTCAGACCTGAAACATGATGAAAGTCTTTGTTAACAAGGACGTGTCTCACAGCTGGCATCACTTTCTTATCTCATCAGAAGTCAGTTGGGCGGCGCTCTGCTTTGTGACTAAGGTGCATTCGGGTGTTCCTCGTAAAACTGTAAACTAATTAACACGACCCAAAGCTGTCAGGGAATAAAATGACAAAATATTCCTTATCCACCATTATGCCCAGGAACCGTGTCAACGACCCTTGAGTGGTCTGTAAAACCTTAAGAAGCAACAAGTTTTTGAGGTTAAAATTCTAAAAATAAATAAATAAATAACTAAAATAAATTCAGTGGAAGTTGGCAGAGTTCCAGGTTTAAACGTTGCAGCAGGCTAATAATAATAATAATAATAATTTAAAAAAAAATCTGAATCTCAGTAGATGCCCTACAAATGAAATGCGTCAGAAATAAACAATATAATTCAGTCTGTCAACATTTAATGACTTCAGTGTCGCAACTGAATCAGCAGCCACTCAGAAATAGCCTTGGTGGTCGAATATTTAGAATATCAGATACCATACAAGATGAAACATACTATATCATCCTGTAAGCCACATTGGTAGCTGCTTAGGTGTAAAAGCAAGAAGACAAAATCTGCAAATTTGCACATACCAACTTCTCTTAATGCTTGTTGTTTAGTATTATTGTTCCTTGTTTTGTTTGTGTGGCTTTCTCATTAGCTCATATTTTTGTTGGAAATAAATACAATAAACATAAAAGATAATAACAACAACAACAACAATAGCAAATAATATTTTATTTAGTAATTTTTTTTGGTGGTAGTGAGGGGTGGATCTTATCTAAGGCCCTGAATGTGCAAGGTCTGGCACTGTACTATACAGTATGTTGCACTAGACTCACAAACTCTAACTAGGCTGTATCAGATAAACTGGTCACAAAAAAAGTTATTCTAATATTACTTTTAATTATTTATTTATTTTTGACAGTTTTATACTAACATGATTCTTGTTTAATGTAAATTCATTGAAGTGTGGGCTATCAAATTCTGTTACAAACCTAAAGCTAGAGTGGGACAAATGCATTATTTTTGTTTTTTTGTTTTGTTTCGTTTTTTAATATTCAGTTTTGTTTGTCGTGATCTTAGAATCACGGTTTACCCTTTTGTTGGCTACCTCTGTACATCTACATAAACGAGTAGAGTTGGAACTCGCGAGATTCCGAGCAGCCTGTGAACGCAGCACCGCGGAGCAGCGGACGCAGGGCAGGACTGAGACAAATAATCCAATCATTAGTCCACTAACAGCGCTCATGTCTTGGTTTCAGTCTCTGCGGGATGAGTTCACTTTGAGACCGTTTGAGCTTGAGCAGACACAGTAAGTATCCCGCCGTCTTTATAGTGAGCTGTGACAGCACTGCAGCTCTGTGACTGAGTGACAAACTTTGGCTGTAATGTGTGCGGGAGATGAGTTATTGGGCTGCGGGGAACTATGACGTTTGATCGATACATGCGGTCGATATCATGACCTACAATGCTTTGCTTTTGTTTGTGCATCGTTTGAAGTTTGTTGAGCGAGGAAAAAAGCGTGTTTGGATCATGATTTACTGGCAGCACTGTGGCGATGTAGGTGGCCTGGTTTGAGCTGTAATTATTCTGAAGAGTTCTTGAAGTCCATTAGTGAGTCTGAAGGGTTTTCTGTGGGACATCTCTGGGATATTCTGAGAGCTGATTTTGCTGTGATGAAGCCTCTATGTGCAGACTTTACAAAACTGTTGGCTAAACTGTAAGTTTGGGTGTTGGTAATCAGATAAAACTTCACAAAGATTTGTACTTTCCATTACATAATTCAATCCCATCTTAATTGGCTGTGCTCAGTTTAGAGGTCACCACCTATTATGATAGATCCTGTATTAATTTGACTCATTAAGATGCATTTCAGGTTGGAATCCATGCCACAAGTATGTTTGGGGTTTAAACTGGCTAATCTGTCAATAGGACCCAGGTTATAATCCACATCAGCTCTTAAATGTAACATTGAAGAGATGCTCTTTGCATATGTATTTCCTAAAAGTATTTAAAGTCCACGTGTTTGTCCCTGTTTCTTTTTTTATTTTATTTTAGAACTACATTTTAAATCATTCTGCTTTTTCTTTCTCCACCATACTGTAATACTGTGAGCTCACACACACTCACACCCTCCGTGTGACAGTGTGTGTGTCAGCTCAGTGTTTGGTAGCGAGAGGTCAAGGACGGTCCTGCTTAAACAGTTATCTTTCACTGTGTGGGAACCTCTGTAATCCTGAACACAGACACTGACAGCCTCAGAATAGACTCATGTTGTCTGTCAGTGAAGAGGATGAAAGGCTCTATTGATCTGGGATCTGCTGATCTGATCCACATGAGGATGTATTGAAGCACAATGTGGACGTCTGATTGCAGTGTTTCTATGTGGCAGTAAAGCAAACACACAGCCTCCACAGCCCTGATAAATGATGATGTTAGACGAGGCATTTGCTGTAAATTGAGTTAGCATTATCAAGATACATGAGCTTAAGGGCATCAGCGCTGGTAATCTGACTGAGAAGCTGATAAATATGCCTCTGTGTAAGCATGGGTGTGTGTGTGTGTGTGTGTGTGTGTGTGTGTGTGTGTGTGTGGCCTGTCAACTGTCACAGCTTTCCTGATTAGAAGGCTGATCAGGTCATCTGTCATTGGGTCATTGAACAAACCCTCAGAGGTTTTACAGGGACTTCCTGTTTACTGTTCCTCTCTGTGAGGAAATCCTATCAAGATAACTCACCGATACATAATTAGACATTAGACATGTAGCTGTGTCTTGCTCAGTGTGTAACTGAATGCTCTCATGTGTATGTTTGTTGTGGTGCCTGTATCTTCCACACTGTTGGGTCCATAAAGCAAGCACACTAGAGACTCACGGTGGCCAAGCACGGCTGAGTGACTAACTTCTGACCTCTGCTATTTTGAATAGGAATAAAATTGGTGTAACTGCGTGGCTCCTCTAGACTTACCAAATGATATTGGACCAAATGGATCCAGATAGTGAAAGGAGTCATTTCTTGTGGGTTGTGATGCTCAATCCACTGACTTACAGATGTCTCTTTCACAATGAAAGTCAAGGGGAAAAAGTCTTTTTGGGCCAAATGGCACCACATGACAGACCCAGAAGTTGTAATTTCATGTTTGGCCCCATGTCATATTGGCTTTAAAGTCCAGTGCTGTTCATGCAGGCTTGATTTCAGTACAAGAAGTCAAAAAATCAAGATGTTGTTAGCAAGCAGTTCTAGCCAGGTTAGGAAAACCAGTTGTTAACAACGTATTACCCTGCATTTTGTGCATACAAACACCATCAACATGTCCACAGATGAGACACAAATAAGGCAAAAGTGTTAATAAACATTACTTCAGTGTTCACTACTGTTGATGTGCGGCGCAGCCATCTTGGATTTCGAGGTCAGAAAGTTGGAATTCCGTCTTCAGGGGGCATTCCAGTTGAAATGTCCAACTGGGATCTCAGTCATTACGACAGTGCAAACAGAACAAAAGTTGTATAATTTTTTGTGTGACTCAGGAGGGCATTTACCAGACAGAGAGCGTCCAACAAAATGATCTGATGATTGGTTGTATTAAATGTACAATGTATTGTTTTTGGAGTTTGACCTCAGCAAGGGATTAAAAGTCAAGATATGTCCGCCTCTGATACACTGATTTTAGTTTTTTGGGGTTTTTTTGGTTTTGAAAAAAATCTGTCCCTATCTGTGATCCCCAACTTAAAAGAAGTATAATAGTAAATCACTGGAGTGGCCCTTTAATAATGGGTTGACATGTTAAGTTTACATGTATGCGATCATGTGGGTCAGGAAGACTACACGTTGCTGTCTAAAGTTAATGTCATTTATACAGCGCTTTACAAAGCAAACAGGTTTTGCACCAAAGTTCTTCACAAAGACATATATATGTATACACATAAAAGTGCAAACATGAATGAGGCAAGAGTAGAATAGAAACAAGTTTAAACACAATTTAAACCCAGAGAATCACATAAAAATAGAAAAACACATTAAACACAATTAAAATCTATAGAGCAAAAAGGGTCCTAAGGTGCACCTTGAAAGCATGCCATGGTGGGTGGATACGAGCAGTCTGGTGGTGCTGTGAGGGATGAGAAGTTCCGAGATATATGTAGGGGTGAGACCTGAAGTTTATCCTGAAATCAACGGGGAGCCAGTGTAAGGATGCAAGGATAGGGTGATGTGGTCTTGTTTTTTGAACCTTGTTCATAACCGGGCAGCAGCATTTTGGATTGAACAGGAAATGGTAGTCTGAGAAATGTGAGGTAGAGGGGGTTACAGTAGTCCAGCCTGGATGATAATAGTGCT